TTCGCGCCATCAATTACAAGCGAAAATTGCAGGAAATGGCTGCTGACGTCATCAAAGGGGGTCCACCTCAAAAGGATCATGAAGAATTCGGACACTTGGACACGTTCGCGCCATCAATCACAAACGAAAAGTGCAGGGAACGGCTGCTGACGTCATCAAAGGGGGTCCACCTCAAAAGGATCCTCGAAAGCTCGAACACTCCGACACAATCGCGCCATCAATCGCAGACGAAAGTGCAGGGAATGGCTGCTGACGTCATCCAAGGGGGTCGACCTCAAAACGCTCTTGAAAAACTCGGACGCTTGGACACCTTCGCACCATCAGTCACAAATAAAAAAGTGCAGAGAATGGTCGCTGACGTCATCAAAGGGGGTCGACTTACTAAGTTAAAAACGTGCGTCAAAACTTCGGACACTCAAACACCTTCGCGCCATCAGTCACAAGCAAAAGTGCGGGGAATGGCTGCTGACGTCATCAAAGGGGATCGACCTAAGAACGTGCGTCAAAAACTTGGACACTCGGACACCTTCGCGCCATCAATCACAAGCGGAAGTGCGGGGAATGGCTGCTGACGTCATCCAAGGGGGTCGACCTGAAAACGTTCATCAAAAAGTCGGACACTTGGACACGTTGACGCCATCAATCACAAGCGAATGTGCGGGGCCGAATGGCTGCTGGCAGCAAAACAAGCAGATACAAGCTTCACTTTGGGGCCAAAAGACGCTAGACCTTGCCAGCGCCACTTATACCTGGTGACCTGGATTCTAAGTCACCCCGTGACAGAGATTCCGTGCCATCTTTGGAGTTTTATAGAACCGAGCCTGCTGGCTGCAATGCAAAGCTATCTCCAACAGCGTTGAACGAGAGTGACCTATGAACCTTCATAATTTCGGGGCACCGATGCTTGCTGCCAGAGCCATGGCTGCACGGAGTGCTCTGCTCGGACTTGGGTGTGAACGGTCCACCACAGCGCGGTGCTGTTGAATTGTAGGCCCTTAGCGCTGTGCCGAGCCTTTACGGCAACTCCCTAGTTCCACGGGTTTCACGGGTTCTCCTTGCGCACTCGAATGTCTCCAGCTTTCAACTTGTACGTAGACCAACACACATGACACAAATCATGCCAGTTTTTTTAACAGCGGATCATCGAGTCATGCTAGCTTTGTTGAAGACAGTTGACTCAATGAAGATCCTTGACTCGTGCGCCACCAATGGTTTTGAGGAGAACATCTTCGAACAAGTGGAATTGGTTAATGGATTGAATCGGCAGCATGTTACTCTCCCAGCTTTTTGACGGACCTTCATGTGCCTCCTCATGGAAACCCTGCAAACGAGCAGCTAAGCTTTATAACGTGAAACATGCACTTTCATTCACTGCGCTTCCTTTGTCGACACCATCTGAAGAGTACATATTCATTCCATGCCGGGAAACACATATCACATGTGATTGTGTAGTCAAGAGCTCGATTGGGTGGTTTACAACGTGAGGACTTTTGTATGATCTTCCTCCAAAAAGTGCATTTACTACTGATCGGAAGCCGGACATGAGATGCTATCAATGAGGGGCCATGTTCTTATGCTTACGAAGCTATCTTGGTGCAAATGCACAATGTCGAGTAGCAAATGACCACTTTTAATATTAAAGGCCCAGCGTGCAATGTATTCTCGGAGCATTGGAGGGAGTGCTTGGCAATTGATTCTCGTCCAAAGCAAGAAAAGTGGGTAATTGGGCAGCGTCTAATCACGTTTTGAAACACTTGTCAAAACACCGAAACCACTCATTCTTCGCTCATCATGCAATACCGCTTAGGTGTCACATGTCAATTTTGGGTTCACACTTGAACCCAAATATGGTACAACTACAGCATATCGAACGCTGCAAACTTCCATGGTCTTCAGACCCGAGGTTCAGAGAAATTCGTAATTGGCTCCCTTATCCGTATGCACATGAAGCGCTAGCATGACAGATTCTTGAATATTCAAGCAGGCGCCTCGCATGGGTCTAAGTGCACATGCCTCGCCTTCAGCACCAGATTTGGATTCTTCTAACCAGCCAACGGTCCTTTTGTATCCATCCGTACCTTCTTTGCTCATCGCTTGCATAACACACGAATGCCGCCAAACCCCTCGCGAGATTACGCGTTGCGCTGCGCTAAGAAATGTCCTTGAGGCAGTCTAGGTGGTGCCGCTCATCGTCCGTCAAGTAGTGCTCCGCATTCGACCTTGAGATGCACAGCTGCACGACCTCGAACTCGTTCCCCTCCAGTGCCTGGAGCCGCTCAGAGCGCCTCAGCGTGGACTGGGCATAGCTGGCCGCATTAACCTGCGCCGGGTACGCCAGGAGAATTCGCAGGATTCCCTTCACGCCCCTCTGCTTGAGGAGAGTCGTCAGCTGGCTGCGCTTCTCTCCGGGATTCTTCTCGCCTTTGTACATGGTCCGGATGTTGAGCGTGCCCAGGGCATGTGCCTTGTTTGGCACCTTCTTGCGGCACTTGGCTTGCAGGATGCCGAGCCACAGCTCGTCGGCGATGCTCAGGTACGAGGCGTGATCAGGTCCAGCTCCTTCCTCTGGGAAGAAAAAGGAGACGTCGCCCGGCTCGCGAAGGAACTCGATCAGCCCGCGCCCTTTCCTCCACGTCTCAACGCGTGGGATGTCGTCAATCTTCAGCTCGTAGCTCTTCTCACCCTGTCCGAGGAGGGACACCACGCGTGCGGGCCCGTAGAAGCAGTTGGGGAGGCCCACAAACCCTTCGAACAAGGGATGATCCGCCAGACAGGTATTACTGGTCACC